ACTTGAGTCAATGCCGATTAACGAAAGAGTATCAGACTTTCGCATATGTCGAGATGTTGCATGATCTTTGGCGTTTACTGTATATCGCACAATGACATTTGTATTGCTAAAGTGTTTCTGTAAGCCCTCTACGCGACCATATGTTAAACTGTTAGTTTATTATTGCATTTTGTATCTCGGTACTACCGGTACTACTTAAAAATACAAATAAACACAGACATATATATCGTAGGTAGACAAGAAGCAGTATAAACAATTCAAAATAAACTTCAGCATTTGCAGCCAATGGGCTTGAATCGAGACTAACAAAATCTTTGAACATACAGAGTTATTGGAAGGGATCAACATTAACGGACACCCCACGGACCAATTACGAAAAAAGACCTTGGGAATAACATGCGCTGGGGGCCAAGAGTTGGATAGCACGCATACCACGAGTGTCCAAGGCCAATAGCATTGCACACATATTTGTATGCCACATAGCTGACAGCAAAGAGGATAACTTCGTCTAAATTGAACTAGCACAACAGCTAAACTAGAGGATAATAAAGGTGGCATGTTAAGTGCATACCTATTGCCTGCGTCGTGACGAAGATGGGTGCTTCCATGGACGTACTGCATTCACTTGTCACTGCTGAGCAGGCCACTACCGTGATACTATACCTGGTGTCCGGGTTCAGGCCAGTGAGCCTACAATGTGTTTCGTCAAATGTTGTGCAACGAGATATTGATTCACCACCCGTCGCGGTTACAATAACGCGACGTTTGCCGGATCCGCTGTCATCCGGGGTCGGTGATGGCGCCCAGGATACATTGACACTGGTCGCTGTTAACACGGTAGCCTGGATGTGTTTGGGAGCTTTTGAGGGTGGGGTAAAAAGGTGCAGAAAGAACCACAAAGAGGAAAGTAGATATGTAGTCTTCAAAGGCTTATCCTTTCGTTCCCAACAGAATACAAAGAAGAGTCATATTCATATTATCAATTGAACTGTTATTAATGCCTGGTGGACAAACACTAATGTACTCCAAAAATTGACCACGTTATTGGCAGGCCACTGGACGCAGTGGCATGCTCCGTAGCGACAGAACAAGCTTTGGTTGAACTAAAGAACATATCATCTGCATCCTATATGCATAGGGGGAAAAACTCTGCTTGTGTTGCAAAAAGAAGCCTTAAGACGGCCGGTAAATTGGCTGGGAGAACCAATTGTCCGAAGTCAAGACAATTGCAAATATATTTGCACCTCACTGCTCTGAGAACAAACACGATAAATTGGTCTTAAGTAAAGCAGACGGGAGGGTTGTGGTGTGATTGCGGTGCATACCTGCTGGCTGAGTTCTGGCTGTAATCGGTGCGGAGAGGAGCGGGCTGCACTCTTCTTTCTCCAAGTCGCATGACACACCCGTAACATTGTACAGAGTGTCCGGACGCAAGCCATTGATAATGCAATGTACGTCATAACGTGTCGTGCAGTTTGATGTGATTTCACCATCAGTGGCCGTGGCAAAGTACTGATATTCAACAAATGAAGATTCACTCGGGATTTGCGGCGGCCCCCAGGAGACCTTGAAACTTGTCGGTTTGATGTCAAATATTTGCATATGGTTGCGATCTGTTGAAAGGTAAAGCGAGAAGCATAAGCGTGAGTAATAGCAACAGCACCAACACACATTAATGAAGTTTACGATTAGCAGAGCTGAAGAAAACCCCATGCGAGCACCCTGACCCGCATGAGCTTCACTTAGAGAAAATTTCTTCCTTTCCTCGTGCAGTACAAAGGCAGCCACCCGAGCAGAAAATGATTTGGCGTGCTGACTTGTAGCCTAATAATTTGCCTATGTCCTATTCAGAAATCTCCGGCCCTCATCCTGTCCCCTCACAACAGATATCATATAACATTGTGTGATGTAGACTTGGAGCAGGAGAGGCGCGGCGGTTGATATCGCAAGATAGTGCAGCCTGCGTGCCATCTCATGACAAGTGGCTGAAATATGACAGTGGTGTTGCGGATACCGGTGTGGCTGAAGATGTGGATGAAAAGGCGCGAACTCATAATAGTGGGGACGAGAATCGAGGTGAACCGTTAAGGTAGGTGCAGTTTGTGGTTATACTGGTGGTGAAACTGATGATCGAGGTGTAGTGTTTCATGGGCATGTGCAGTGTGATTGAGAAGTATCCATCGAAAGACGGGCGTCAAACTAATATTAAAGAGTATAATGAAGGGCGTAGGGAAGAAGCAATGCCATGGGGTAGGCAGGCTGTCAGATATGATGACAGTATCTTCTACAGACCATGGTGGAGCTTCAGCGACTACAGCTTTTCAGTTTACTTAAGGAATAAGTATTTTTTTCGGCACAAATTATTGTATTCGAGGTCTATGGCCATAGACGGATATTTGACATGTTAGGCCCACTGGTCATTATTTGACAAAGTCAGAAGGATGAGGAGGTTTGGCGGCTTGCTGCCACAATGCCGCGGAAGGCGACAATG